CCCCACTTCCCTGTCCCACCCCCTTCCCATGCACCCCCGTTCTCCACCACCCCCAGCCCTTGGCCCTGAGTTGGAAGGGACGTAGGGCAGAACTCTTGCGGGCACCACCAGCTGCCCGGGGCCGCAGCAGCAGCAGCAGCAGCGTCAGTGGCCCTGGCACCGGAGAATCCCTGGGCATCGGAGGAGGCGAAATGCCACCGGAGCCTCACCACAATGACGTGTAGGACGACAGGTGGAGCAGTGGTTAAAGCAGCTGCCCCATGGCCTGCCTCCCTACTGAAGGCTTTGCCCTGTTCTCTAATGCCCAGAGCTGCCTCTTGTAGCACCCTGGCCTGGTATATTAGGCGTATGCAGATAGTCCTCGACTTATGGCCACAATTGAGCCCAACATTTCCGTTGCTAAGCAAGACAGTTGTTAAGTTAATTTTGCCCCATTTCATAACCTTTCTTGCCACGGTTGTTAAGTAAATCACTTCAGTTGCTAAGTGAATCTGGTCCTGTCAGAAAGTCGCTAAGGGGGGCCACGTGGCCTCGGGACACTGAAACCGTCATAAACATGAGCCAATTGCCAAGCCTCTGAATTTTGGCCCCATGACCAGGGGAGGCTGCACTGGACGTAAATGTGAAAAAGAGCCTCAGAGGTCACTTTTTTAGTACCATTGTAACTTTGGTCATCAACGAACGTTTGTAAGCAGAGGACCTGCTGGTGAGGCCCCCGGACACACCTGGCAAAGGGAGGCTCCCTTGGGACTCTTGGCTCTGTTGCCCACCCGAGAGCAAAGGCCACAGCGGGTGGGAGAGGAGGTGCACACAACACGCAATGAAACATTGAGCACAAAGCACACAGCTGGACTCTGGACCCAGAGCAAGGAAAGGGGGGGGCGGAGGGTTAAGGTTACAGGCTCCTGTGCCCCACAAAACAAGGAGGCAGGTGGCTTCCCTGACACAAGCAGGCGTGTGGGAGAACCCCTCAGGTCTCTGACCAGCTCAGCAGGAGAGGCTGTGAGGCTGGGCACGCTGGTCAAGGCCCAGAAGGGGGTCAGAGGGGGAGGGGTTCTTTTGCGGGGTTGGAAGGGTCTCACCTGTGGTCCCCCTTTCTCTCTCTCTCTCCTTCCCCTGGGGCAGGATGGGGCATGAGGGCCTTAGGAGCAGGGGGGCAGACTGGCTGAAAGGGAGAAGGGAGGGAGGGAGGTTCAGGGGCTGGGACCGAGGCTGAGCGGCATCCATGCCCTCTTCCTGTCCCAGGGTCCTTTGTGGGAGAGGGGAGGCATCTGGCCCAAAGGGGCTTCAGGCGGACCTCGTGGGGCTCAAGGACTCCCCCAGCCTCATTTCCCAGGGCTCTGAGCAGGCCTCTCCTGGCCCTTTCCTGACTCAGCCCAGAGAGAGGAGGGAGGCCTAGAGCCAGAAGTGGTC